AATGGGATTTATGCCCATACAAAAGAGAGCCCTGAGAGCACCCTTGCCCTTTCTACCCTGTGAAGTTACGGCCAGAAGACAGCCGTCTATGAACAAGGAAGTTGGCTCTCACCAGACACTGAATCTGCTGGCACCTTGATCTTAGACTTCAAGCCTTCAGAACTGTGAGAAGTAAATTTCTATTGTTTAAAAGCCACCCTGTCTATGGTATTCTCAGCCTGAACGGACTGAGTAAATAGTCACACCCTAACCCCAACCCCACAAGCAGCTCTTACTCTGATTTTCGTCACTATAGATTAGTTTCACCTTCTTAAATCTGTAAGTTTATGTCTCTGACCAGATTTGGAAATTTTCAGCAACCCCATTCCCTTTCTCCAACCCTCCCCCCAGAACACTAATGACAGGAATATTACATCTTTTGTTGTTTTGTTATAGTCCAAAGCCCTGAAGGGGCTGTTTTTTGTTTTGTTTTTTTTTTTTAAGTCTATTTTCTCTCTGTTGTTCAGATTTGGTCATTTTTGCTCTTTCAGTTCATAGATACTCTTTCTTTTGTCCCCTTTATTCTGCTGTTGAGCCCATCCAATGACCTTTTTATTTTGGTATTGCATTTCTCAGTTCTAAAATTTCCATTTGGGTCTTCTTTATGTCTTCTATATCTTTGCTGACGTTTTCTATTTTTGTCATTTGTTTTAAGCACATTCATAATTGTTTGTTGAAGCATCTTCATCGTAGGTGCTCCAAAACCTTTTAAAGTTAATTCTGACATCACTATATTGTTGGCATCTATTTTTTGCATTTTTTTCATTTAGTTTTGGATCTTTCTGGTTCTTGGTTTTTATTATTTTCTATTGAAACTAGGTATTATTTTTATATTATGAGATTATAGATCTTAAATATTTATACCTTCTATGTTAGCTGGCTTTTTTCTGACACTACTCCAGTTCAGGAATGGGAGGTACCATCTACTCAGTTCTGAGTGGAGCTAGAAGACCAAGTTCCCCACTCAACCTCTGTTTGACACATGAGAGGGGTGTTCTTCCCTACTGCTGGGCACAGGTGGGGGTTCCAGTTCTCTATGTGGTCTCCACTGACAACTCTGGAAGTGGTCTCATTACCACTGGGCAATAAAGTCCTGACTCTTCACTAAGCTTCCTCTGATACCATAATGGGGAAGGAGAGAGATGCCTCATTACTACTGGATGGAGGTGAAGTTCAAGCTTCTCACAGGACCTCCACTAACACTTTGGGGTGAGGGCTGCAGGGCCAGTGGGGATGAAATTATGATTCCTTGCTCATCTTTCTCTGACATCACCCTAGCCAATGTATAATCAATCTATGCTTCCCACTCCATCTGTACTGGTGTAGGTTGGGGTGAGGTCGCAGGTTTTTCTTTGGTGTTTGGCTGGGGTAGAGTGGTTATAGTCTAAATATTTGCTGTCTTGGTAGGCGTTTGTTAGGGTTTTTTGATCGGCAACATTGGCATTTCAAGATTGCTGGCTTCTTCAGGTCTCAAGTCTGAGATACGTGAGGCAAAAATAAAATCAAGGAACTTGCCACTGGTCATCTTATGTTTGTTTTATGTGTAATGCTCAGGGTTTCAGTTATACATACTTCATGGGAGGAATCTACTCCCATCTTTCTGCAAGCAGAAGTCTCTATATTTTCTTTCATTAAGTGTTTAAGCCTTTTGCCCATTTACAATTGGGTGCTGGGGTTTTTTGTTATTGATTTATTGGAGCCATTTATATATTTATTATGAATCTTTTGCCAGGTATGTGCTTTGCAAACATATTCTCCCAGTCTGCAGCTTGCATTTTCATTTATTAAACCATGGGTTTAATGAACAGAAGTTTTAAATTTTGATGAAGTCCAATTCTAGCTACCTTTTGAACTAAACTCCTTTAATGCTAAATGAACCAAGGTCAATTTCTGTTGCTTGTATTGGTTAGTTGATATAAGCCTACAAAGAATCACCTTGATACTTACACATACCATGATATTAATGCCCAAAACATTTTTGGAATCCATTTTTGAAATTGGCTCGACAAGAAGTTTATGACCGTAGCAGAAACCAGGCTCATTATTTTAGAGCTTCGCCTAATAGTCCACCATCAAACACCATCTGAGAACTTAATCATATGTCAGAACTGGTTGTATAAACTTTAGGTAATTGCACAATAAATTTCACTCTCAAGGTGTGATAAGTTGCACAACAAATATTAGTTAAATGGACGTGCCCTAAATTCTGGTAGTTTGCAGTTAGCTAGTTTTCCTATATACTGAGGAGTATATTGATTTACCATGTTTAGTTACAGGCCTTCTCCACTGTTAGCACCTATTCCATTTGAATTCTCACTTGATTAGCCTTTTCATACAAGGATACTCTGGGGCCCTGAGGAGTTGAGAGATGGAAATCTTTTTTAGCCTGATGCTGAAAGAGCCACAGTCCTTCCAGCCCTGAGAGAATGGTAGTGAGGAATCAGGGTAGTCAGTCAAGGCTAGGAAAATGAGACAGTCCTCAGCTCGTCCAGAATGAAAGAAATGAAAACACATCTGGTACATTTATATTCAAATATATAAACAACCGCTCCTGATAAAAGATTTGGAGTTAGCTGTGATCTGGATTGACTATAGCTCTACCTCCTGCTTTTATGGGTGTCTGAAGATTCTTGAAAGCCTGTTAATTTTTCCATTTATTTTATACTGAAGGGAATTGTTGTGGTATTGATAGAGCTGCTCATCAGCTCAGTGGTGATTTTTCTGGTGAGTAGGTGTTAAATATTGCCATGAAAGATAACAGGGTGGCATTCAATCCAAATAGGAAAGCCCTAACAGGTGGTTATTGAGACCTAAGACAGGAGATACTGCACCAAGGAAAATGGCAGAACTTCACACCCACATCTATGATCTTGATGTTTTATCATTATAACTTAGGTATTACAAATTCATATGCCAGGCCTCTAGAATTACATAGTATTATGAAAAGAACCAAATATATAGTTGACAGATAATGATTGGTCGCATCTAACTCCTTAGTCATATAGAGTCCAAGTTTTGTTACTTTTTTTTTGTTTTTAAAGAATAGACTCAAAGCTACTTATATATATTTTAAATGCTCTAAAACCTTGGTCATTATTTCATTATAATACAGATTAAAAGCAAACTGTAAAAAAAAAAGATGATTAACACAAATTAAAAAACTTACAAGTGATTGATAAATTCCTGACTTTTCCTTTAAATTAGAACTATAAATTTCTATCTGTGTTTAATACTTCAAATCCCCTCTATATACTGACAGAATGACATAGGAGTGTCCACCTCTTGTAGACCCTGGCATTGTGAAAACTGACATTTCTGAGAACACTCCCTGTTTCATAACTCATGACATTGTGTGGGCTGCAGAAGTAATGCTTGTTTCTACCAAAAACTTACCAACCCTTGAATATGGGACTCAGGTTCATCTGAAAATTAAAACAAAGAAAACATTTCTGCAAGTATTGTTAATAGCCATTTCCAAAGAATACTACTAAGCAAAATCTTCTTAAGTTCCTTTATACTTATCAAGATAATGCTTCTGCATGGTAGAAGTGGGATAATTCCATGTTAATCTTATCAACAATTCATGGAGATTGTCCTAGTTTAGTTATACATGTAATATGTACCTGTCATATGTATAAAATGTATAATGAGCATTTGTGTTCAAAAAAACGATAACCCAATAACAAATGACATTTTATTATTCAAATGATCTTATAATGTCAACACCAATGCTAATAAAAATATATAATATGCTAAATTCATCAATGGCAAAGTCATTGTAATTCCCTCGAAGATTCCCACATTTCCAAGTAAGCTTTTCACAGATAAATGAAGATCCTCTATTATGTAGAATTTTCATCTTTAACTGTTAAAGGCTGGGAAAGGCAAAGCCATCCCTATTAGGAGAGCAAGAAAAGCAGAGATGGAACAGATGGGTCTCCATACACATGGAGCTGTAAGTACCTTTCTGCTCTTCATATTATCTTCATATAATTTAAAATAAAGAAATTCTTTCTTTCTACCAAGGTTTCTAAATGTTGAGATTGTGGGTTCTTTTCATATTGAATTTTAAGGGATGCTGCTTTGCTCTATTTCTAAGCTATTGGAAGCAATAAAGTTTAAGCTCAGTGAATCAGTATGGAGTTGGTAACATGGTGACCCTTTCTTTAAAAGCAAAGACATACAGGGGCACCTGGGCAGCTCAGTTGGTTGAATGTCCAACTCTTGATTTCGGCTCAGGTCACAATCCCAGAGTCTTGGGATCGAGCCCCATGTAGGGCTCCATGCTAAGTGTGGAGCCTGTTTAAACTTTTTCTCTCTCCCTCTGCCCCTCTGCCCCTCTGCCCTTTTTATATGCTCTTGCTCTCTCTCTCTCCCAAAAAAAAGACAAACAAAAAGGATTTTTTTTGGAAGAATATTTTCACAAACAGGGGCTTGCTTTGTATATACATGTTATAGTTAAAAACAAAATTTGGATTATTGTTATATTCAGGAAATAGGTATTTCATTAATTAGCCCTTTACATGTATGTGAAAGAGAGGGGGATTGAAAGAGAGAGAGATTGCTTTTCAGCTTAAGTAAGATTTTGACTTCCTGAGAACTTTCTAATTAGGTGAAATACTGGCTAATATATTTAGTCTTCTTACCAGGAAATGAATGAAAAGTACATCTTGTACATTCATGAGAAACTGAAGTAGATTATTGGTTAATAACCTAATGAGACATCTGTTTAAACAGATGTTTTAGTTGAGAGAAGTGTAAACATGATTCTAAATTTACAAATACGTTGGTTATTCTTCCTTGTCTGGGAGGTTGAGCCAAAGTTTATGCAGATTAGAGGAAAGCCAGAATCTGGAAAAATTCAAAGTATTACATAAATGCAGATAAAGTAATACAATAAAGTCAGTTGGCAATTATTTTAATAGTTATTTACAGGGCCTTCCATTGCTTTACTTCATTGCTCACATACAAGTGACCTGAGTTACTCCATCTTCCTGGTCAAACTGACAGTCGTCTAATTCCCGTAGGACACTGTCATTGCTGCTGAAGCCGGAGAAGCTGCTGTACTGTGTCGGCCTCCTCTCTCTTGTCCAACACTCTCCAGAAGGAGAGAGGAGGCACTCTGCAGGTGGGTTTCTGCTGTCCGTTGGTTGTGATGTGGCTGTGTCCAAACCGATGCTCCTGCTGGTGACTTTGTTCCTGTCTTCACCTTTTGTATGCCGGCTGGCTTTCCTCTGGAACACAAGAGATTGGCAACCAGGAATTAAAAAGAGGGGTGCTTTCCTGTCCTTTTGATCTAGCACATACTGTACTCGGCCTGAAACGTCTCTTCCTTGCTTCTCTTCCAGATCCTGCTCATCTTTAAGGACCAACTGAGAGCCACCCTTCACAGTCTCTCCTCCTCCCAGGTAAGAATGAGCTGCCTCTCTCTTTCACAATCTTTAGTAGCTTCTTGGCACGTCCTTCTCCTCACTGACAGATTGGTTGTGTACATATCTGGGCCCTCAATGATATCTCTGGGAGAGAGAAACCTGTTGAGATCATACTTTGGGGGAACAAAGTAGGGTAGAAATACACTGAAGGTTCTATTTTTCTTCTTGGTGTTAGTTGCGATACAGACAGCAGGAAAAGTGCTTCATTGGCCACCTCATACCCATTTCACACAGGAATAGGCTGCACAGAAGAGTCACAAATAATTCTGATCATGCTTATACTGAAAGAATGCCTGGAGCATCTTCCTAGGTCAAGCAGACCACTCTCTCTGTCCTGGTTCAAACTACTTCTGCCTGACATGGTAGGAATGCTCAGCAACCAGACCACCTTAAGCTGCAGATGCTTCTGCTGTGAAATATTTACTGAGGGCTGACAATGTCCTTGGTGCAGTTCAGAGTAAAGAGGACATGGTCTTTGCCAAGGTAATAAGTCAAAATAAGATATCTAAGCCAATAAAAGGAAATCTCAAGAAGAAAACTGTAGCAACTCAACAGGTAGATGTTCAGACTCCTGATGAGATTTCCTTACCAGGATGTCTTTAATACTGATAACATGACATATTAGAATGTGATCATTTACTCTTAGGAACAAAAATCTGAACAAGGATAAACAAAAAAGAGATAAAATTTAAAAAGATAAAAAAGCACACTAATTTCCCAATTTACACAGAGTTTATTATTTGGAAGTTCATTTATATGTTAGATGGAAATTAGGACTTCATTTCCCTAAATGCAACAGCTATAATTATAAAACTTAGGGAAAAAATATAGAAGTCAGATGCCCATGCCCAGGCTAGTCTTATAAAAGTTTATTAACTCAGAAGTTAGTTGAACTGTAATATATAAAATACAGAGGTATATTCTACTGACTTTCATGGCAAATATACAAAGCAAACAAACAGGTTTACTAAATCAGATTTAATGTGCTACCATGGAATGCAACCACGGTCTATGACATTGTTTGTATAGGAACATTGCAGTCCTCAGCATGTTGCATAGAAAGGCGTATGTTGGCAGCTCTTTTTCTTGGCTGAGTTACTGGAGTCCTTGGGCAAGTTTAAGTTTATGGGTCCTGCCTCAACAAGAGCTTTCATGGTCACAAGTCAGAGATAGTTGTGGTGGTGGCATTTCCATTGGCCCCCTTGTATTCATCAGATGCAAATATCAGATCTCAAATCCTTTTCTTTTTATTGTTATTCGCTAGAAGCATTAAATTTATTTTTTATTTTTTAACATTTATTTATTTTTGAGAGAGAGAGAGAGAGAGAGAGAGCATGAGTGGGGGAGGGGCAGAGAACGAGGGAGACAAAGAATCTAAAGCAGGCTCTAGGCTCTGAACTGTCAGCACGGAGCCCGAAGTGGGGTTCCAACCCATGAACTGCGAGATCATGACCTGAGCTGAAGTCAGACGCATAACCGACTGAGCCACACAGGCGCCCCAGTAGTATTAAATTTAATACAAGCATTGGAACCTGACAGATCTACTCTTCAGGTACTGGATTTGAGAATGGCACATTTTCTCTGGCATTGGGACACTCATCAGTGAGGAGATAGCCTTTTGGCTGCAAGAAGGGCTGACGGGTACTGCCAGACTGGGCTCCTTTCTCAAGCCTGGCTACTGGCTCTTTCCCACATGTATAAAGAATTCATTCATTCTTGAATGACCTCTCAGTGCTGACTAAAAGAAAATAGGAAGGCAGAGGTGCCTGGGAGCACTTGGCTGCCTGGATCTTTCCTTCTTCACCAATGCCAGGGCCAAAAGTAAATTTTGCAATAAATTCCTTATTGCATGCCAGCCAATAGAGGCCAACTCTCACATACTCAGTGAGAATTTACTTTAAAAAAAATTTTTTTTAATGTTTATTTATTTTTGAGAGAGAGAGACAGACAGACAGACAGAGCATGAGCAGGGAAGCAACAGAGACAAAGGGAGACACAGAATCCAAAGCAGGCTCAAGGCTCCAAGCTGTCAGCACAGAGCCTGACACGGGGCTCGAAATCATGAACCGTGAGATCATGACCGGAGCCAAAGTGGGACACCCAAGCGACTGAGCCACCCAGGTGCCCCACAGTGAGAATTTTCCTAATAAAATGTGGGTATTATTCAGAATAATAAGATATTCTTAGTAATTCACTTATAGATAAGTATTAATAAGTAAACAGCCACCAAATGTAAATTTCACATATTAAAAGATAACACAATACCTAGCAACTCTAGGTTGCTAGGTAACTCTAAAAAAGATTTCAGAACAAACACTTTTATTTTCTTTTTTTACCACATGACTCTTAATAAATACATCTTCGGCAATGATATTGCCTCCCCTACTCTACTCTCACTCCACATGAAGGAATAGATTTTACAGCAGATCAAATTGCAATGTTCTTCTAACGTAGAGTGTAGGAGTCTGAAGCTCAACCAGTCCTGAGAGGTCATCTGCTTTAACCCCTCATTCTATGGAGGTAGGACCCAGGCCAAGAAGGAAGATAGGATTTGTCCAAGGTTAGGGAGTTTCTGGCCTTGAACTGGAGCCCAAGGATCCTATTTCATTCCCTTCACACTACATTATCCACAGCTACAAATTTATGAGTAGACTTAATGGTCAAAGATTTGTGTGTTTTCCAAATAAAATTTTCCTTCAGTTACAAAAATAATACATGTTCAGTGTACAAAACTTGGCAAAAACAAAGAAAAAAGTACAACCTACCCACAATCCTATCTTGCAGAGATACCACTGTTAAAATCTGGTGTATTACTATTTCTTTCTCTAAATATGTATGTATTTGCTTATGTCCACATAAATGTATACAGCTCACTTTTCTACTTAGCACTGTATTTTGAATATTTCTCTAAATCAATAAGGAGAAATTTTCCACGCTACATTGCCAGGCTTATTCATATATCTTCTCACTTTTCTCTGATATTTTCACTATAAAATTGGAGGAAATTATACCAAGATCTGGATGCAAATGTCATCCTTGATAATGTCATCCTTGATAAAATCCATTAACTTTTGAGAATCATTCTCATTTGCTAAAAATGGGTGATTCATTTCAAATATATGAGACCCAGTGACAAGTCAGTTGATTTTAGAGTATCCTACCATTCTGGCTTCCATTTTTCACTGTCAGTGTCTTAAAAACAAAAACAAAAACAAAAGAATGAAGTCAGAATTACACCAGTGATCATAAGACATGGTCAGTGTTGTGATGAACAGGGTAGAAGAAGAGCTAAAAGATATGGTTTAGAAATAAAAACAAGGCGTGGACATTCAGGACTTCTCTTCCTTGTATGTCTCAGGCTTGGGAGAAGATCTCCCATACCTTGTCTCTGTATGTCTCAAGCTGAAGTGTAGCTCTAGTACCATTTGGAAGAGTTAGAGAAACACGCAGAGACACTACCCCAGCTTGCTCACAGAATTTGTTCCTGGGTCATTCCAGCTTGAGGTTGTCAGAATCATTCAAAACTGGTAAGGAAAGGGGTAGTGGACAACTACCTTTCCAGTCAGTTTTCCTATCCACCTTCTTCTCTGCCGTAGTGTGGGCACATGACCCAATCAGATCCAATCAGAGTCCTTCTCTGGGATTGCTATATGGACTCTAGGATAAAGAAGCTCTTTCTTTTTGTTGAAGTGGCCACACTCATCTCATTAGAAGCCCTCTGCACATATGCACTTAGAAGCTGAAATAAACAGATGAAAAAGAACACCCTGGTAATGTGGAATCTCTGGTGTCAGTGCCTGAGGGCTTGGTTCTTATAGCTCTTTATTGATGTTGTAAGCTATGCTGGTATCCTTTCCACCTAGAAGCTAGTAAATTCCCTTATATACACACAGGCTAATCTGAGCAGGGTTTCTGTCCCTTACATTCCCAGGGACACCAATGGATAAGAACACAGGTGGCCCAGAAGAGAGCTGTTCTCCAGCCTGAACATTGTCCTGTGGCAACAGGGACCACTCTTTCTCTTCTGCTCACACCAGGAAAAAAACCCATTTACTTTAAGTGGAAAGCATTCCCTAGATGAAGAACCTCGTTAATGATAAAAGCAAAATGCTTTCATCTTGATTTTTGCATAATTTTCTTTGAGATACTCGATACCCTCTATTTACACTAGCACTTGATTTGATTTCACATGGATTTCAATCAAGGATACTGACAGCTAATGAATTAAGTATGACCCTTATGGTTTTCAAATAATTTCAAATCAACTTCTAATGACTGAAAAAGTAAGAACTAAGTTTAATAATTGTCTCACTGTAAGGTAAAAAAAGAAGTTAATGTGTACATTAATATTTCTTAGTATTCATATATGATTTTATTGTAGCTACCTTGGAAAAGATCTGATTTAGAACATTTTTCTGGCTGCTGCTCCTTCACTTCTTGGTTTGTGTTAGAGAACTGATTCAACAGATGTGTCCAAGAAGTCTTTACCTCTTGAAATCATTCATTTTGAGATATATTTAAAGATAAGAATATTATTTGAATATTATTTTGCTCTCAAGAAGAAAAATAAATTAAAATGGAAACCATTAAAATTAAACTCCTGTCTCCCCAGGATCTATTCTCTCCGTTTTTCTTTTAATAACAGAACTCCTCTTGGCAGTGCCTTGCAGTTTTGAGCTGGCCATGTGCTATTTCACCATGTTACCAACTCCCGGTTTCCCGGATTACATTTCCCAGTCTCCCTTGCAGATACCTCTGGTGACATAAATAAGTTCAGGTCAAAAGGATGTGAGAAGAAATAC